AGTCTAGGACATTTTCAGGTGGGTAGTTACCGATATAGGAGCCTTGTAGAAGGTCTATATACCTTATAGAAGCCTTGTAGAAGCCCTATATACCCTAAACTCCCCACCTGTAGTTTCCTTTAAGACAGTCATGGTTGCAGGGTTAACTTTTTGGGGTCAGGGTTTAGGGTTTTATGGTATTCTGCCCCGAAGCCCTAAGCCGTAGAAGTCGCAAACTTAGATGACAGAAAACGGAGGCAATCTGCTCTGTTCCTGCCGGCTTGGGGTTACCCATGTTTGGGTTTAGGGCTTAGGCTTTAGGGTTAGGGTTCAGCTGTCTCCGTAAACCGCATAGAATCACTCTAAACACCTTTGTGCAAGGTTTAGGGTTTGGGTTCAGGGGCTTTGGGTTTAGGGGTTTGGGGTTTAGGGGTTTAGGGTTTAGGGTTTACCCCATAAGCCCCAAAAAACACCGTTGCAAGCTGGGCTTAAGCCGGCCTGGGGGCATCCATCAAACCCTAAACCCTAAACCCTAAACCCGGCCTGGGGGCATCCCAGCGGCCCATCTGAGCAATGCAGCTCTGAGCACGACAAGAGCGTGCCGCGAATTCCTCTGCACTCAGATCAGGGCAGAGGCTCCCATATCCCTTAACTCAGGAACAGAGAGTTCATAATTTTAGTAGGAACCTAATATGATTTATGTCCCTTAACTCAGGATTATAGAGTTTACGATTTTAGTAGGACGCCTACTATGCAGTATGGTATACCCCTTAATTCAGGAATAGAGAGCTTATAACGTTACTAGGACCCCTACTATGATTTATATCCCTTAATTCAGGAATATAGACCTTATAATTTTAGTAGGACCCCGAATATGATTTGTGGTATATCCCTTAATTCAGGAATACAGACCTTATAATTTTACTAGGGCCCCTAATATGATTTGTGGTATATCCCTTAATTCAGGAATATAGACCTTATAATTTTACTAGGACCCCTAATATGATTTGTGGTATATCCCTTAATTTGGGAATATACCTGAAATTGTAGTAGGCCTAAACCCTAAACCCTAAACCCTAAACCCGAATATGATTTA